TACCTGATATCTTGATCTTCTTCACTGTCTTGTTGGTGTTGTTGGTGACATGAACATTGACGCTGATGGGTTCTCCGTGGTAATAGATCTGGGAGGCAGAAGAAGGGAGAAGGGTTGGATGGCAGGACACCAAAGTTCTAGATAAGGGGGAGGGAGAAAAGACCCCACACAGATCTCCTGGGTTTCCCCAAACCTTGGCCATTCTGTTATTTGCTCCAAGTTCATCAGCTACTTCCCACCACTGCTAAGGTGACACCAAAACCACCAAGCACATTAGACTTCAGTTCCTTTGTGAGACCCTTGAAAGATAACTGAATGAGAAGGTGATGTTCCTGGACCCCACTGCTGGCTCAGCCACTAGTAATAATGACAACAATAACACTAATAATAATGCTGGTGATAGTGAAGTGACCTTGGACAGATTACCTAAACCTCGGATTGCCCTCTGAAGAGGTTGGACTAGGTGATGACTCAAGTCCCTGCCGGCCCTCATTGCCTGGGGTTTTAGACACCAGAGGATCTGGAAGAAGCAGTGGGAAGGCGGAGAACGGCTCACAGAGGATCCAGCTCTGAATCTTCATCAAAGGGCCTCAACTCACGCCTTGCCCCAGGCACTTGCCTTCAGCTGCCTCCTCAAGAGGGAGAGCGGGGCCCCACACCTTGAACAGGGATCAGCTTTAGCTCACAGTAGGTTGATACCTACTGGTTTTGATTCGAAGCTTGAGGGGGAGCTTACTGGTGCTTCCTTCAGCAGGGCTGTAGCATGATAGCTCAGGGTCGGTCGGCAGGGTTATGGTGGGAGAGCACGGTGCCCCCTCTGCAGAGCTGGTTGGTCCTCTCACAATACTCAGCCTGAAGCAGGCAGTGGAGAGGGTGGGGGAGACTTCCAGGACCCTTTGAGAGGTTACAATGGCATCCCTCAGGTTCTGACCCCTTCTGCCACTCCTTTAGGCCCCAAGAGCTTCCTCCAAATGCCCTGAAGGGAGGTCTGATTCCCTAAGCCATGTGGTCCTAGGGCTGGTGTCAGAAGCTTCTACCTGAGGGGTCCCCAGAGAGCTGAGATCTGAGTCCAGGCCCTGGTAGAACAACTCCCACCCCTGCCAAGCTGGGCCTCCTACCTCCTTATCCAGGGAGGCCTCTAGGTGCAAGGGCTTGTCCGACATGAGGAACTGCCTGGTGGTCTCAGCTGTGGGCTGGGGGCCAGGCCTCTCCGGGGCATACTGAACCTTCCGGATGACCAGGCGCACTGAATTCCTAATGGAGATAGGTGGGGTAAAAAATGACCAGAGTCACCTGCCTCCATCCCCTTTCCTTGGATCCTTACATCCCTCATCTGCTTAAGAGACTGTCATGGCTCCCCATTGCCTTAGAATCCAGCCCAAACTACAGAGGTCCCACTCCATCCTCCCCAATCCTGTCACCAGCCATCCCCATTTCCTCACTATTACCCCTTATCCTACCTAGTCTATTTAGTCTAGTCTACCCTTACCCTATCTAGTCTCATCTCTGAAGCTTTGCCTGCACTGGGCCCCTGCCTAAAATATCCCCTTCTTGCTTCTGGCCTCAAGGCCCTAGAGCCAGGTCTTCAAGTTCCAGCTAAACACCTCCTCTTCCAGGAAGCATTCCAGACCCACAATCCTGATCTTCTCCTGGTCTGAACTCCCATAACATCAGAGGCTGACCACCCTGTAGTGCCCCTTCATTTGGTTCTGTGTCTTGGTACGAAGCAGGATGGTAGGGAAGGGACTGTGTTTTCACTTCCTGCATTCCTTATGTCACAGCAATAGCAAAAGCTCCTTGAGGATATTAATTTATGTCTGATTTGTTCACTGCTGTATTCTCAGCATCTGTGATAGTGCCTGACATACAACATACCTGACATATATAACAGATGCCTGTTAAATATCTATAAAAATAAAAATAAGCAGAAGGGAAAAGGGCCCCATGAAGAAGTGGGGGCTCTGATAGGTGATAGGGCTCAGTGAGCCGATGTGGACTGAGTAAGGGGGATGCAGGTGAGTGACAAGGATAAAGACTCAGGGGGATGGAGGCCTGGAGATGAGATGGGGCTCAATGAGGTCTCAGGGGCTCCAGGAGGAGATGAAGGCACAAGGATTTGTTGAGTGGATGGGGACTCAGTGAGGCAGTCTCCGTGGTTTGCTGTGTATGCTGGTACCCCCATTTCTCAGATCAGCTGCTTTCATTCTCTGGAACCAGACAGCCTGGGCTAAAGTCCTAGCTTCCTCTTACTATGTAACCTTGAACAAGTTAATCTTTCTGCTTCAGTTTCCTTATCTGTAAAATGTTGGCAATAGCAGGTCCTGCTTCTTAGGGTTGTTGTGAGGGATAAATGAGTTCACACATGTCCAGCACTTTCAACAGTGCCTGGCACCTAATAAGCCCTTGATAAGTGACAGCTACTATATCATTGTTATTAGTAATTCTTTTGTATGGACTTCAATTGTTCCATTGGTGGTGAAGTGAGGGTGGTGGCTCTCAGTGTTGTCTCCTCCTACTTGTTCTGGTCAGGCCCTATCCCACAACCCATAACCCTCCTCCTTTTTCCTGGTCTCAGGCCTTAAGAGGAGAAGGGGGTCAGAGAAGCAGGGGAAAAGTGTCTCCCATCTTCCCACACACATAAGCTGCCCAGGCTGGAGATGCCTGCAATACTGTCTGTAGCCACCAGGTGGCAAACTCAGTCCACTGCCTAGCGAGGTCTAAGAACACTGACTGGGGCGCAGGGTGCATCAGAGTTGGAGATGAGGGCAGCCAAGCCAGAGGGAGGGTGGGGCCTGATCCCAGGAGGGTCAGGCATGAGAGTGGAGCTGGACAGCTTGTCTCAGAAGTCAGGGCCGACTGTTTCTGGCCGCCAGCCTGGGCCTCTCTTTCTGCCAGGGGCCTGATCTCCCCACACTCTCCCCTGGGTGGGTTCACTTTCTTCACTTTCCTCCCCTGTTTAGAAGCCTCCATTCTCACACACACACACACACACACACACACACACACACACACACACACACACACACACACACACACACACACACACCCCTCCTGTTGATCACCGCCCAGGAGGAGAACTGGGAAATGGTGGTCCAGGATGGCCAGGAAACAGCCTGCTCACTGTTTAACCATTTGAACAACTTGAATTTAGTTTTTTGTTGTTGTTTTTTCAATAAGACAAAAAGATATGCAGTCTGGAGGGAATGAGACTAGAGGCAGGGAGATAAGAGAGGAAGCTGGTCAATTGTGTAAAGGGGAAAATGTTGAGGCCTGAGCCAGGGTAGTTGAGGCCACCTCCTCCAGGAAGCCCTCCATGACCTGCCAGACTTGCAGAGTGCCCTTCTCAGAGTTCCCAAGGCTGGAATGTCTGGCGCTCCTCGCACACTTCCAGGTATTGTTACTTATCTCTTCTGCTTTGCCCATCCTGTCTCCCTCCCTCTCCCAGCTGGCAGCCCACACCCAGGGCAGGAAGCAGCAGCCTGCTCACCGCTTGTGGATCTTCTCCTCTAGGTTCTCTGCGCAGAAGGCTTTGACTTCATAGTCCACACCACAAGCCTATGGGGAAGGGGTCACTGAGCACAGGGCCTTGGAGAGGGCAGGGGCCCCACGAAGCACAGCCAGCCCACCTTCTCGTTTTACAAACAAGGATGCTGAATGGGAACACCAAACTCCCGTGGCCTGACCTCGCATTGGTCTAACCACAGAGCCCTCGTGCTCAGTCCCAGCACTGTGCTGCCTCTGCTGCAGCTGCCTCCCCCATCTGCCTCCTGACAGAATTGCTCCCCAACTCCCCCTAACACAGGACATCCCAATCACCCCCAGCTGGGTTCTGTTCTTTGGACTCTGTGCCTCAGTCTGAGTGGCCATCCTCGTCAAGGCAGCAAGCCCAGAAATGACAGCAGCCGCCTCAGCAGCACTATGCTGGGAGCACCTAGTTACTGTGGGCGGACCTTGCACTGGGTGGAACCCTGTAACGTCTCACTCAGTCCTCTCAACAACACAGGGAAGTGCATCCTATTATCTCCATTTTGCAGATGAGGAAATGAGGCTCAGAGATCTGGGGCCTGGGACTGAGCATAGCTCCACCACTCTAGTGGTCTCACGTTGATCTGAGCCTCAGTTTCCCACCTGTGAAACAGCCATGACCGACGTCCATACAAGGTTGCTGGGAGGGGGGGGGTGGCTATGTGAGAGCAGGTTGGTTCTGTTGCAGCCAACACCAGGCCCAGTGAGAGGGACTCAGGAGGGCCTCACTGAATGGGGGAGTGAGGGCTGATTCCGTATCTGCCGCCCTGTCTGAAAGGGATGAATCTGGCCTAGACACAAGGAAGTCTCAACAAGGAAGGTGGGCCTGTGTGTCCAGCACCTCCCAGGGAGAAAGCCAGGGACAGAGCTGGGAACACAGGTGTCCTGGACCCAGAGAGATGCACCCTTTAGGCTGACGCACCTTTCCTGTGTCTTCAGGCCCTGGCTGCAGCGTCACAGAGCATGGGAGGTTCGGAGGGATCTGTTGAGAAGAGGACGGACAGAGAATGAGTCACTTGTCACCTCTGAGCTCTTCCTTTCTCCCAACAACGACCTGGACTCAAGAGGGTCCGAGGAGTAGCCCAGAAGTAAGGGTGACACCCCTGGCAGTGGCCAGAGAAGAGAAACTTACCAGCTGGTGTAAGTGACAGTGCTCCAGGGCTGAGTGAACACTGGGAACCTGGGTGACACTGAGCTGCTGCCCAATTGCCCCCATGTACCCGCCCAGAGGTGGCGCTTCTGGAATGGGGCCCCAGGGGACGGCAGTCCCTGACCTCAAAGGTGAAAGGGTAGGCGTGCTCGCCCAGCTTCTTGATGAGGCGCTCCTGCAGCCGCGTCAGGGGCTTCTTGTCCTCAGGGGCCGGCGGAAAGGACTGCACATTGGCCACAAACAGGTCCTTGCGAAAGGTCAGGCCCAGGACATCCAGGTCCTCCCGGCCGTAGCGGAAGGCGCAGGTCAGTGTCACATAGACTGTGGGGAGTAGGGCTCACTGAGGAGGGGGCTGAGGGAGTGGCAAACAACCCCCCCGGAGAACCAGCTACAGCCACTGAGGGCCACAGGTCTGTCCCAAAGCTCCTGTCAGGGAGGGCTGTTCTATCTCCCCCTGAGGAGGTTGACATTAGTGCTGGGGTACCTGGAAGAGCTGCCCATGCCTGGCCCCAGGGAGGAGGAGGAGAAGGCAAAGGCAGACTGCTGGGTCCCTTCTGTCCTCCACCTCCCACTTGAGCCCAGGGATGTGTGGAGGGGCACAAGACACGGTCCCACAGGGTGGGGGCGGGGGATGAAGTAGGCTGGTGGGCCTAGGGGATGGGCCTGGGGGAGGAGCAGTGCTGGGAGGGCTGAGGGAGGGGAACAGCGCTGGGTGGTATACTGAAGGCATGGGGGCTTGTCCCAACCCAGCCCCTGTCTTCCTGCTAACCTTGGACAATCCTTCCACCTCCCTGGTATCAGTTTTCTCTGCTGTAAAATGAGACACTTACTCCTGCCTGTTAGCATCACCAGTGCTGGCACAGTTACGGTCTACTGATGAGAAAGCGCTCAGGGCATTGGAAGGTTCTCACAAGGTGGGGGTGGGGCAGGGCTGCCCTGGCCAGAGGAGGCAGGGCACCTGCCATGGAGGGGTTTGTTGGGGACTGTCTGGGACAAAGAACCAGAGGAAATGACAGGGAGGGGCAAGAAGATTAGCTGATGTCCTGCCCAGGAGTGGCAAAGGCTGGGGCCCTGGGCTGGAAGTTGGCAACGGAAGAAGGGGAGACCCATTGACCTCCCGGGGGTGGAGCACAGCCTCACCTCTTCTTTCCTTGAGATACTCAGGATCCACCAGGACCACACCATCTGGGAGAAGGACAGAGAGTAAGCAGACCTTCCCAACTTGACCCTGAAACATCCCCAAGGATGTTTCCCTGAGCCCCAAACACCAACCCAAACCCAGCTGTCCATCTGTCCAAAAGCATCATGAGAGAAATGGAAAGGCCAGTACCTGGGGGTGGTACCACCCACTTCTCAGCTTCATCTCCACCACACACCCCACCCCATGTCAGCCTTGCAGACCATGGTGATTGTGCCAGGTTCAGGGTTCAAATCCTGCCTCTCCTACTGCCCAACCAGTGACTCTGGGCAGGTTACTTAACTTCTCGGTTTCTTCATATGTTAACAAGAATAATAACAAAGGTCTGAAACCCCTGGGACAAGGTATACTTTGAAATTTAGAACTTTTGAATTGTAGAAAGATAATACGATGCATCTTCTAAATATTCTGTAATGCCCTCTGCAGGATCTGGGGTAGCGCCCATGATCAAACCCACAAATACCTCTGTAGGGGAACATGAATATTCTCACCAAGAAAGTACCTACATATATATATATATATATATATGTGTGTGTATGTATGTATGTATGTATGTATAAACCTATTGCTGTTGAGTCAATTCCGACTCATAGCAACCCTATAGGAGAGGGTACAACTGCCCCGTAGGGTTTCCAAGGAGCGGCTAGTGGAATTGAACTGCTGACCTTTTGGTTAGCAGCCGTAGCTCTTAACCACTGCACCACCAGGGCTCTCTCTCTGTCTCTCTCTCTCTATATATAAACACAAAACCCAGTTGCCATCGCGTCTACTCAGACTCATGGTTACTATATGTGTGTCAGAATAGAACTGCTCTATAGGGTTTTCAGTGGCTGATATTTCAGAAGCAGATTGCCAGACCTTTTTTCCAAGGCACCTCTGGGTGGACTTGAACCACCATCCTTTCAGTTAGCAACCAAGTGTGTTAACTGTTTGCATCACCCAGGGACTCCATAGCCTCACATCAGTTCAGGTCAAGCTTTGTCACTAAATAAATTTTGTACCAAACTAATGAACAACTTCAGATTTTTGGTGCTTTTTGGATTTGGGATTTGCCAGTCAGAGGTTGCGGTCCTGTAGCACCTACCTCATAAGCTCCTGTTGAGAGTCAATGAGCTAATATGTGTGAAGTGCTTAGAAGGTGCCTGGCACCAGCAAGCAGTGTGGAGAGTATGGGATGTGCCTTAGTGACCTGAGGCTGCCCTTGGGAGCGTAGAAACCCTGAACTAGAAAAACGCATGCCTTCAGCCATGCCCCAGGCTCTGGCAGGACCACCACATAGGTGAAGACAGCCTCCATTTCACAAGCCCCAAGATTTTTCCTTCCATCTCCCATTCCTTCACCTCGGGCCCTCTGCCATCAGGAGGCAGCAGAACAAAGGGGTGTGTGGAGCCATACTGCTCAGGTTTGAATCCAGGCTACTACTTACTGGCTCTGTGACCTGGAACAGGTCATGTAACCTCTCTGTGCCTCACCCTTCTGTCTGTAAACAGAGATAATATAGTAGCTGCTTCCAGAGTCTGGAACATAATGTGGTTCTTGTTAGTTGCTGTGATGGCTAATTTTATGTGTCAGTTTGGCTACGCTACTGAACTGGTTGCTGTTTGGTAATGTAATGTACTATAATGTAATGTAATGACCATTCATGATGGAATCGGATGTAATCAACCGATCAGTTGAAAGCAGAGTTTCTGTGGGGGTGTAGTCTGCCTCCAGCATATAAATGAATGTTCTGGCAGAGCTTGCTCTCTCTAGATCCTGTACTCTTCTTGTCCTTGTCACCTGACCTCAGGTTCCTGGGATGTAAGCCTGCAGAGGTTTCCAGTCTTCCACCTGATCTACAGATTTGTGACTTACCAGCCCCTGCAACTGCGTGAGCCATTTCCTTGAAGTAAATCTCTCTCTCTCTCCATATATATATACGTCTAACTGGCTTTGCTCCCCTAGAGAACCCAACTAAGACAGTTGCTATCCAGTGGCTTCCCACTCATGGTGACCCCATGTGTGCAGAGTAGAACTGCTCCACAGGGTTTTCAATGGCTGTGACCTCTCAGAAGCAGATCATCAGGCCTGTCTTCTGAGGCACCTCTGGGTGGGTTTGAACTGCCAACCTTTTGGTTAGTAGTTGAGCGCTTAACCATTTAGGACACCCAGGGACTCCCGGGTACATAATAAGCTTTACAATCAGTGATGGCTACTGTCATCATCCTCGCCGTCATCATCATCACCATCATCTAGATGTCTTCTCCGTTTCTAACCTCAATCCTTCCTACAATTTCCTCTCCCACCACCCTCAGGTGAACAGGAAAGTAGCTGCTCAGTAAAGGTTTGCTGAATGAAGCAGAAAGCCACTCACATCCCATTCTCGGTACTGGGCCCCTCTGGAGACCTGAGGGCCACTCCTGGGCATGTTGAAGGGGCCAGGCCAGCCCTGCGTCCCCACCCCTTTCTCCCTCCCCTGCGGGGACTCACCCACGGGGTCCACGAGGTCAATGTGGTCCACAAAGTCCCGCTTTCCCAGATAGACGGTGAGCTGGGGAGGAGAGGCACAGGGGATGTTAGCACCTATAAGCCTGGGAGAGACAGCCCTGAAAAGGCGCAGGCCCTGCCCTAAAGGAAACCCCATGAGCTGTCCCTAAAACTCCTAGACCCCCAGCCCTAACTCTTATCTGAGTCCTGACCCAGCCCTAATATTAAGAATAACAAACCATTGTAAAATTTTAAAAGCACCTGTTCATCACAAAACCCTATGAAGGAGTTGTTATTGTTCCCATTTTACAGATCAGACACTGAGGCTTGGGGAGCTGAAGGACAGGCCCTTCACGCTGAGCACCACTGAGGGTGAAGTAGCAGCAGCAAAGAAGTCAGCTGAGCGGGAATGCTTAGAGTTGCTCAGAGACAGACCAGGCCCAAGGCACTGAGAACTCTGGGTGTTCTGAACACTGGGTTCTGTGCTGAGCAATTCCTTGTCCCTCATGTAGTCTGGCAGGGACCCACTTATATGAGAAGGTCCTGAAGACTTGCTTCCTGAGGCAGTGAGGAATCAGAGAGTCAGTACCCCACTTAGCAACAGCGCCCCTGCCGTCTGTTCTTCACACTGCAGGCAGAGGGAGCTTCAAAATCTGAGTCAGATCATGTCACTCCTTTGCTCAAACCCTCCCAGCTTGCGCAGAGGAAAAGCCTCACCTCCTTTCCCTCCTGGCATCACTTCCTCCTACTCTCCCTCCCTCCTTCCAGCCACATTCATGACTCTACCCCTATCATATTTCTCAAGTCCGTCATGCCTCTCCATCCCCCCAGCCACTCTTGCCTGGACTACCGCACCAGCCCCCCTCCACGGTCTGCTGCTGCAGCCTCACCCACACTGGACCAGTCTCCCCTCCCAGCAGACTGGTCATCCTTGAAAATGCAAATCTAATCATGCTGCTCCCCTCTGAAAACTCTTTAATGGTTCCTCAGTGCCCAGAGGTAAGGATGACAAATGGGTTTCATTCCAAGTGCCAACCCTGAAGGATTGGTAAGGGTTGCCTGGAGCCCTGGGTTGAGAAGGAAGCTAAGATGGAATCTGGCTTGGCAGGAAAGCATGACGTGACTGATAGGTGATGTCTTTTGTGGGCACAGAAGTATGATGTGGAAGCATACATCGTGCTATTTGTCAACCCAGGTCAGGAGTCCAAGCCCCTAAGCCCGGCCACGAGAGTCCCCATGATCCAGCTCTGCAACCTCCCTAGCTCAGCTCCCGCTACTCTCTGCCTCCCTCTTTGCACTCTGAGACTGAACTGCCTGTAAGTCTCTCGCACTCCCTGTGGTTTTGGGTTCATGCCTTGTTGTTGTTGGGTGTCATCAGGTCAATTCAGACTCATAGTGACTCCGTGTAACAGAGTAGAACTGCGCCATAGGGTTTTCTTGGCTGTAATCTTTATGGAAGCAGGTTGCCAGGTCTTTCTACCACAGAGCCGCTAGGTGGGTTCAAACCAGCAACCTTTTGGTTAGCATCCAAGTACTTAACCATTGCACCACCAGGCCTCCTTAATACCCTTTTTCAGCCTGCCTTGCCTGGAAATGCTGTCCCTGACCACCAGGCTGGGGCAGTGCCTTCCTTTTGCTCACGCAGCCCCTGACACCCCTTTATCTCACACTTGCCACTTTATATTGAAATGATCCATGTATGTGTCTGTCCCCCACTTGGCTGTGAGTGGCAAGGGCAGCACCTTATTTATCTCAGTACACCCTACCCCAGTCCCCACTGGGCTTGGCCCAGACCTGGCATGGAATGATGTCAGTAATATCTATTTGTTCAACTGAGAAGAAAGCAGGGAGGAGCCTGAGGCCTGTGAAAAGAAAGAAAGAGGGGCAGACACTGGGAGCTGCCCTGGATAACTAGTGCCCCAGGGTTCAGTACGAGAGGCTCACAGGGTGGCTCACACCACGGAAATGGGTTCCCCTGAGGCCCTCAGCTTATACTGGATTTACCGCACTCACACTGAAGTCTCTCTATGAGAACAGAACAGATCAGGTGGTCTCCCCCTACACCACAGCAGGGCCTCCCTGAGGTCAAGGGCAGTTGTACCTCCCCCTCAGACAGAAAGTTTCCTGAGACAGCTCTCTCCCTCCTCTGACTGAGGGCTCCTAAGACCAGGACTACATCTCCCCCTCAGACTGGGAGCAGTGCCTCCTCCTTCCCACGGAGGTGGTCAGTAGAGATGCCATTTCCTCAGTTTTTCCAAGAGAGGACACAAGAGTGTGGGGTCAGGGAGGGGCTGGGGTGCGGCTCTTCCACACTCACCTTTCCATTTGGGCTCGCCTTCTTGAACACTCTGGAGAGAAAGGGAGAGAGGGAAGGCCAGGGTTAGCATATCCTGCCCAGGGAGAAGGCTCCTGCAGGCCACCCTGAGGCAGGACAGAGGACAAGGGGCTACAGGGCTCAGCCTGGAGCAACTCACAGGCACTATCAGGCAGAATCAGATTTTACTACCTCCACCTCCACCACTACTGGCCTGGGCACCTTAACCGCTCTCCTGGGCTATGGCAACAGCGCCCCTGCCGTCTGTTCTTCACACTGCAGGCAGAGGGAGCTTCAAAATCTGAGTCAGATCATGTCACTCCTTTGCTCAAACCCTCCCAGCTTGCGCAGAGGAAAAGCCTCACCTCCTTTACCTCCTGGCATCACTTCCTACTACTCTCCCTCACTCCTTCCAGCCACATCTGCCGCTTTGTTGTTCCTCAAACACACCAGGGTGGTTCCTGCCTCGGGGCCTTTGCCCTAGGAATTCCCTCAGCCTGGGATGCTCTTCCCCAGATATCTGCTTGCTCGATCCCATCCCTTCTTTGAGACTACAACCTGTACCCCAGCCAGTGCTCACAATCCCTTTCTCTTGCTGGATTTTTTCTTTTTTCCGTAGCACTCATCACTTTCTAACCTGCTACATCATTTACTTGCTCGTGGTGTTTCTTGCCTGTCTACTCTGCTAGCGTGTCAGCTCCATGCGGGAGAGACCTTGCCTCTCTTGCTCGCTGATGTATCCCAGGCACCTAGGGCAGCACACCTAGCAGGTGTTTGACAAATATTTGTTCACGAATGGCAGGAAGCAAGCACTCAGTAAGTATTAGTTGAATGACTGAATGAACGAATTAGTGAAGGAATCCACTGCCTTACTTGACTGAGAAACTGAAGTCCAGGAAAGGGAGGGGATATGGCTCGGTCAGATAGCAGAGCAGGGAACACAGAGGCAGGCAGAGACAAGTCCCCGACTCCCGCAAAGTCCTCACTGTGCCTTCTAGCGCACACTGCCCCTTCCAACAGCTCCTCCTTTCTCTCTCTCCAGATGGGTCTGGGGGCTGGGGACCCCTCGCCTATCTCTGATCACTTAGTCCTGAGTTTCTCAGAGTAACTATTGGGAGGGAGAGAAGAAAAGGGGAAGATAGAAACAGAGACCCAGAAAGGAGAGAAGATCCTGGAGAAGAGAGGGGAGAGAGGAAGACGGGAGGATTGGGATGGAGGCCCTGGGGTGTGAAATAAAAGACAGAAACAAGGAGAGGGAGAGAGAAACAGCCACAGAGACGGTCAGAGCAGGACAGAGAGATGGAGCAGCGCCCACACAAGGCTGAGAGAGACCCATGGCACCCAGACTTTCCCCAGGAGCAAGAGGTCAGTAGGCATCCAGGTGGACAAGGCAGGATGAGGCCCACCAACATGGGTGGGACAGGCCACTCTTCTGAGAAGGGGAGGAGGGTGGTGGCTCTGCAACATCTCCCCAGCCCCTGCACTGTCCACTTCTATCTCTTACTTCCAGGGCCCCAAGGGACCACTGATAGGCCTGAGCTTCGCTTGCAAAGAAGGGCCTGACACATCCCTCCCCCACCTCCCCTAGGAGCCCTGGGTTCTTCTCATAAATATTTATCAGTGTTTGGAGTGTGAAGATGCCACAGTCAGCTGGGGTGTGATAATTGCTAAAGTGAGAAAAAATACAGATCACATGGTTTGAACCAGCTGGGGCTGGACCCACAGAGGAGACGGTAGAAGTGGCACAGGCCACAGAGACCCCCAGCTATTTCCAGAAGCTACAGTCCTTCCCCTCGCCCCCCCAGGAGCCCCGGGTCTGAGGAAAATGAGAGAGCAGACCCGCTGGGATGCCCATGGGCATGTCTGAGGCCACAAATAACCTAGTCATGGAAACTCATTCCAGGGACTCCTGAGAGGGGCACTAGCCACAGGAGGGGCTGAGGGGCTAGGCTGGGAGGAGCAATAATCAAGAAGGGAGAAAGGAAGAAAGAACTAGCATTGTGTTATTCTCACAATAGCATTGTGAGGTGGGTATTATAAACCCCATTTTATTGATAATTAACTCAAGGCTCAAAGAGAGGCAGTGATTTGCCCATGAAGACACAGCAAGCAAGGGGCCAAGTCAGGCAGCAGACCCAATTCTGTCTGCCTGCCTCCAGAAGCTGTGTTTTCCATCCAACTCCACTGCCTTCCTAAAGGTGTTTTTATCAACATCAAGGGTAACGAAAATGAGGACAGGAGAGAGGAAGAGAGGAAGAGGAGATGAAAGGCAGAGTGAGGGAGATGAGAAGGAACATGAGGGGGACAGGGGCAGGAAGCATGGCCAGCGGTGGGGTTTGGCCTGCCCCTCACTCAACCAGCACCTGGGATCACCTCCTTCAGGAAGCTGAGGATGCTGATAGATTGCTCAAACAACAACAGCAGCCGCTGCATTCCCTGAGAGCATGTTATGCCCTAGTCACGTCTCTGTATATTTCCCAGAGCACTTTGATCCTTTCAACAATCCCACTTCAGAGATGAGGAAACTGAGGCTCAGAGAAGCAAACTGGGGTCTGCCTATCTCCAGAACTCACGTCCTTTCCCCTTTGTCACACAGCCGAGCCCCTCCCTGAAACAACTCTTCTGGCTTCCCCAATCCCAGCGCTGTCAGAAAAAAGGCCCCTGTGGGGGTGTTTCCAGTTTACAGGGACCTCGCATGGGCAGCACCACACAGATGGCCCCTGCGGCTTCTGCCTACCCACTTTGAAGAGCAAGAACAAACGCGCAAGACCGTGGTCAAACCCAAACTTCCCAGTTGTAGGGAGGGCTAGGTTTGACTTCTTCCCCTAATCCCATCTGTGCCTCACAAGCCTGATCTGCAGAGCCAAGGCTGGGTCCCCACAAAAGAAATAGCAGCGCTGTTCTAGCTCATTAAGGCTCACTGGCGACAAGGAAACCCATCCAGGCTAGCTCAAGAAAAGGGGTGTGGGTACTGTAAGGAGGCAAAAATCTCACGGAAAGGATGCGCAGGCAGGATGCACAGGGGCTGGAGCCAGGAATGGGGAAGCCATCAGATTCTTAGGCAGTTGCTCTTTCTCTCCACCTCTCCCTCTGGGGCTGCATGTTCTCCCGGCTGTGCTGCTCTCTGTGCAGCTGCTCCATTCTCTCTCTGTGGACCAGCTCTCTCTGCTTACTCAGGGCTTTTCTGCTCCTCCATCCTTCCAGCTTGCATGTGGCTCTCACTCCAACCCTGTTTCTACTCTGCCTCTCACTTAGCTTCCCACCGCTAACTGGCTGAATGGCCCGATTCCAAATTGCCAGGAGAGGAGTTTGATTGGACAGCTTTGGTCAGGTGTCCCACTCCTGGGCCAATCAGTGTTTAGGGTGTGTCATGTGGTCCATGAGGCATGGGCAGAAGAGGGTCTCTAAAGCAGTGTTTTTCAAACCAGGGTCACAACCCATTAATTATCAATGAAATCAACTTAAAGGATTGCAGCCCGCACTTTTTTTTTCATGGAATGGAATAGAATGGAGCCCTGGTGGTGCAGTGGTTAAGCGTTTGTCTGCTTATCAAAAGGTTGGCAGTTTGAATCCTCCAGCCACTCCTTGAAAACCCTGTGGGGCAGCTCTACTCTATCCTATAGGGTCGCTACGAGTCAGAATCGACGGCAATGGGTTTTGTTTCAGAATAGAATAAAAAATATAAGTGTGCATTCCAGGTAGCAAGGGTATATTAGATATTATTATATTCACCACTATGCAGTTTTCCTTTAAGCTGGGAATATGGGAGGATCAAACTTCTCCAGTTCTGTGAAGTTTTGCATGCCCATGTGGCTTGTTCTGGCCGATTAAATATAAGCAGAAGTGTCACTTCCACACAGAAACGTTTAAGGGCTACTGCAAATTCTCCATGTCCTCCGTATTAGCTTTCTATGGCTGCTAGAACAAAGTGCCACAAACTTAGTGACTTTACAGATTTATTATTTGGGGTGGAGAGGGAGTCAGCAGGCAAAGTCAGGGTGAGACCAGCCATGAGGTCATGGCTTACGGCAGGAGGCCTGGTCCTCCAGTAGCTGGGGGGCCAGACTGAATATCCTGGCTCAGCCCAGGTTGGAGCTCAGGCCAGGGTCAGGACTAGATAAAAAATTGGGATTTCAGCCTGGGGTTAGGGCAACTGGATATCTACATAGAAAAGAATGAAGTTGGACCCCTACCTCACACCATATACAAAAAGTAACTCAAAATGGATCAAAGACCTAAATGTAAGAGCCAAAAGTATAAAACTCTTAGAAAAAAAACATAGATGTCAATCTGCATGACCTTGAATTAGGTAATGGCTTCTTAGATATGACACCAAAGCACAAGCAACCAAAGAAAAAATAGAGAAATTGGACTTTGTCAAAATTAAAAACTTTTGTGCTTCAAAGGTTACTAACAAGGAAGTAAAAACACAACTTACAGAATGGAGAAAATATTTTCAAATCGTGTATCTGTTAAGAGTCTACTATCCAGAATAAATAAAGAACTATTACAACTCAACAACAAAAAGACAAAAAACAAAACAAAAAAACTGTCAATTAAAAAATGGGCAAAGGATTTGAATAAACATTTCTCCAAAGAAAATATCCAAATGGCCAATAAGCACTTGAAAAGATGTGCAACATCATTAGTCATTAAGGAAATGCAAATCAAAACCACAATGAGATACCATTCACACCCACTAGAGATGGCTATTATCAAAAACAAAGACAGTAATGTGTTGGCAAGGATGTGGAGAAATTAGAACTCTCATTATTGCTAATAGAAATGTAAAATGGTTTAGCTGCTTTGGAAAACAGGTCGGCATTTCCTCAAAAAGTTAAGCATAGAGTTACCGTAAACCAAAAAATCCAATGCCATCGGGGCAATTCCGACTCATAGCAACCCAATAGGACAGAGTAGAACTGCCCCATAAGGTTTCCAAGAAGCAGCTGGTGGTTTCGAACTGCTGACCTTTTGGTTAGCGGCCGAATGCTTAACCACTGCACCACCAGGGCCCCATATGAGCCAGCAATT